TGATATAAGCTGTCATCTCAGTACCAGAATCTATGACAAACGAGATGATTTTAATTTTGAAATTATAAATTTTCCCCCACCTCAGTAGCAATATACCAACTTCACCTGCATATGAGATATATATTTCCCAACTCATTCGGTATTCAAGAGCTTGCAGCTACTACACAGACTTTATAAAACGTCACCAGTGTCTGTGCAGAATGTTGATGAACCAGGGTTATGTCAAAGAACGTCTCGTCCTTTTTCTTAAAAGGTTCATCGAAAGATACCAAGACCTAGTTGATAAATATTCCGTATCAACTTCACATATTATACATAATGGTCTTGGCGCATAGATTCTAGGTACTGACGTTGTTTATCATCTTAATTACTTGTTATATTTTTTTTTTTATTTGTGTTTGTAAATGATTAACCTTTACTGTTTAGTCCATTTTTGGGAATATCCTTTTGTTGTTCCTCGGTACTTATACATCCCGGCATTGTGTTATTGTGATATGGTCTTTTTTTTGTATTCTTGTCTTTCATTTTTTGCTTTTATGCCATTTTGTTTTTCTTTGTTCAAATATTTGATTTTTTTATAGTGATTAAATTATAAAACAATGGTGACTGCTGTACCCCTATTTTTGACATTTTTACCTTTTATGTCTGTATGTTTTGTTCACACATTGTTGTCAATATCATGGAATTTTTTGCAACTGTCATACAAGTGAGATGTTTAGCTAGCTATAAAACCAGGTTTAATCGACCATTGTCTGCATAAGGAAATGTATGTACCAAGTCAGGAATATGACAGTTGTTTTCCATTCGTTTGATGTGTTTGACCTTTTGATTTTGGCATTTGATAAGGGACTTTCCGTTTTGAATTTTCCTTGGAGTTCAGTATTTTTGTTATTTAGTATTTAAGCTCATTGCATCTAGATCTCAAATATATAGCTATACAACTTACGAAGATGTTGTATAATTGCAAATGATACACCTACCCACACGAGATCAAAGGATGCAAAAGTCAGCAACAACAGGTCGCCGTTCGGCGTTTAACAATGCACAAAACACATACCGCATAACATGCAATAAAAGGTCCCAACATGAGGAAAAATGTAAAACAATTAAAATGAGAAAGCCAACAGCCTTTCTATCTTTCTATCAAAAGTTGACTTCAAAATAAGATTTGTTTGAAGTACTTCTCTTTTTAAACCATGTACATCACAGCATGGGAAAACTTATAGATGATTAAATAGATAAATGTGTATATGATGTTGAGAATTAAAATCTCAAATCTAACAGGTAAACGTTTCTTATATTTCGTTACTCATTGTAAAGATTAAAGCATCCTTTAGTATTCTAATATCTTTAACATGAGAAACAAATAGGCCTTTGTAGTTCAAATATTTTTACAAAATTCTTTTTCCAGCCAAAAACAGATTGCAACTATAAAATGTAGAAGTCAAAGAATGCAAGTGTGGATAATTCACAATTCTGTGTTCTGGTTATTACCACAACCTTCACAAATATCGCATTATATTGTAAAATCTAAGATGGATTACAAGAATAAATCAAACACAGAATCTAAGCTGCTTCAAACTACATTTAACAAAAGACAAACAAAAAAACGATTTTACGTTTTCAAATTCCCTGCATTCGTTAACAAGAAACATGTGGTACTTTATCATGTTAATTACAAAAAAATCGAATAACATGAATATATAAGTACTTGTTCATATACCTTAGATCACCGGCATGTTTCGTTTTTTTTTTTTTTTTATTTCAACATATGTGTAGTTGTGTTTTATATCATGTCCACATTATTGCAATTTTCAGGAAATGAAATATTAGGTCAATACAAAATCATAATGCCATTATAGTCCAGCTGATTTGTGCATATTTTCAGAAGAATTGTGGGTTTGGTGACAAAAGCATGAAATTTTGCACAATTTTAGTTATATGTTTGGTAGTCAATTTAAGTAAAAGACGACTCTAAAAATACAGTAAGGTGGCCATTCTCAAGATGTCTACCAATCAGTCTAAATTGCACAATCATATATAAAATAAGCAAATTATATTCAAACCAAATCGTTTAAAATCATATAAAATGTAATCAAAGTTTTTAATAAGTCATGCCGTTATATTAGACTTTTCAATTTTTTTCAAAATGAAGGAAAAATGCAATTGGCCGCCAAAAATTGAAAATGAACAAAATTTAGACAAGGCTTTGCTGATATATGTATTTATTTTTTCTATCGAATTACACTTTGCAGTTGTTACTATAGTCTTATGATTACATTTACATGATTTATGGTTGCTGCTTTTAAGACAATTTAATCAAAGGTGCAAAAAATTATGCATCCATTCGAACGTTTTAAACGTTGAATGTTTCATAGATTGATTCTTCTATAATACTGTAGATAAATTGATAATTGGATCATACAAATAGGAATACGACCTACATTGATTGTTCATTTTGTCACTAAGTACCTCCTTTATTCGTCTTACCATTCAGTAACAGGCCTATATTTACACTTCTAAAAAATATTATATCACCTTGATTATTCTATCAAACAAAAATATATTCACATATATTATTATCTTTGGCCCAAAAATTATATATCTTAACCATTTTGTTGCTGTCAAGACCATTGGCATTAATTAAATAAAAAGGTTAATTAAAAATAATGCATTTTATTCACTAAAATCTTCGTCAAACAAAAGGCTGTCATTGGTACAGAAATGACAATGTTTAACTTTGGATACATCTAAGAAAAAAAAGTTCAAAAAAACAATTAATTTTGTTTTGAAAGTGAACGTATGTGTCAGCGGCTACAATAAACATGATAATATTCAATATCAATATCGAGTATAACCAACGATCTCACGAATCACCTACGCTAACCGTCTTCTCATTCCTTGGATCAAACGTTGAATTTGGCGTTATGTTAGTATGTGCCATGAGACAAGATTCTGAACTGGCGGTACTCTTTCGCGTATACGACGACCAATTATGTCCTAGATATGCTTAATGGGGACTCAACAATAAATCGTTTGCTACAATAATTCCAACTTTTTCTATATGTCGGCTGTACATTAACATAAAAAGAATTTAGAGATTGACAAAGAGTGAACATTTTCCTGCATACTGAGGAATATATTATAGTTTTAGGAACATTTTGATATTGTTGATCGATCTGTTTTCAATTATCCCATATTTAGACATCGTTAAAACCTAGCTTAACTTATTGTTCAGATAAAACAGTTGTTACTTGTTATTTTCAAATTAAAACCGACATAAGGTGGGAGGGTATAAAGCGATGATATTAAAAACTTCATTAGTTCTGAAGATCTATTATTTTTTAACATTAAATTGTAATTTGTGTGCGATTATTAAAAGAATGATCTGAGACCATATTTAGTTTTTCTACATTTTCTATCTATTAAATACGACCGCTGCATTCATTGTAATATGCAAGAGATTTTTTTAAAGATGTGTTTATTTCAGGTGTAAACATATGATAGTTTTTTATCAAATATATTTGCATTATCAATAAACAAAAACACGTCTTGTCTTTTTAGACTCGTATTATTGGATTTCGATTTTGATCATATTTAGTATACCCTAAATAGTAAATACTACAGTGAATATCATTAAACTTGCAAACTAATGGTTAAAGAACAATATATAAAAAACAAGTTCCATTTTGTAAATTTCAAATAGATAAACATACCAAAGATTTACAATTACCCTGCGTTAATTGTGTAGCAGAACCTTGACAATGACAGTTTCTGATTTAAAATTCATTAATTATTGAAATATAACGTCAGTAGGTAATGTCAATATTAGTTAAAGTCGAATCGAATTACTAATCAGCCCATCTTAAAAGTAATGATAAAAGCTATAATTCAGGTCCTTTCATTGATAAACATAATGATACTGATTAAAGTCCGATGTCCTCTGTGGCATGTCAATATGTTTTATTTTTCAGGTATGGGTTTTATACAAGATTCGTGATAACACAAATTCATAGTTTATTGTAATTTGCATATTAATCAAAGCTGTGTTTTTGGCTAAAGCATTAGAGAGTATATTATGTATACCCTGGCGCGAACAAAGAACATAAACACTTATTTCGTTTGGCAGTTTTAAATTGAAGCTTACATGAAAGTTTTGGTTATAACATTATGAACACGTTGGACTGAATCAAAATTCTACCAATCGTATACTGCAGAACGGGTACCAATGGAAACCATTTTTACAAACCCACTCTTTAAATTTAACAGATGTTCAAATGAACTCAGTTTCAATTGAAAAAATCGAAAATAATGATATACGTAATATAGCAAACAAGTGCATGCTGATATAATCCTTGAAGATGAAAAAAGGTTAGAAAGTTTTCTTCTCTCATATGCATGACGATAATGATTTCTAAATACATATTAACATAATTAAAACTGGATTGAATTATACCAATATCATATTTGTATCGATTTCTTTCGAAAGATACCATGATGCATCAAATCCATTAGACAAAGGGAAATGTAATCATGGCCAATACAAAAAACGAAAAGACAAGAACCAAAATAGTACACTCAATTACAACAGTTGTTGGTAAAGTTTAACGCCAACAGTACCGCTTTAATATCGACACCATCTATAGTTGTATCAAAACTAAGACGAAAGAAACATTTTCATTTCTCATTTATCGGATTTCTAGAAAATACTCGAAAGGGTCAGGGATACAATTAATAAAACACTTGCAAATAATGGCTTTCTGATAAAAATGCCTTTTTTTAAGGAAAATGTAAATCTAAAACGCTAGAAAAAAAAAACACGAAAAAGGTAAAATCAAAACTTGTTTAGAAGCAAATTAAATATCTTATTGAAAAAGGTATATTCATTCAATTGCAGACTTTTTTTAGGTACATTCGAGTTTTTGTCTATTGATTGACTTATTCGTCAACATTTGTGTGCTCATACATATTGTACATTTAGTTTTTTCCTTTTTGTACAGACGGTTATGGTTATATGATGCCACAAGCGACAACGCAAAGGTCTGATAGTAATGTAACTTCAAAATCAGGGGTGTACAACATTCCATATGATAAAAAAGAAGAAATATACAGAGAAACTCCGACGAGCACTTTCCAATTTAACGAGGAGATGTTTACATCGAATCCTGGTATGTTTATTTCTCAAATATAGACATGATAGATAAAAGTAAAAAAAAAATATCGCAATTAAAAGATATATTTGGTTGTAAATGCTCTTAAATGGCGTATTTGAATTAGCATTCCAAATGTTTGGATTCAAGCGCCATGTTGAGGTTTCTCCAGACGAAGCGCACGACGTCTAACGTACAAAATCATAAGCCCGGTATCTCTATTGCGTTTGAGCAACCACTAGATTGATTTCCCTGCTGAGGAACGCTTCGCCCTAGAGGGTATCACCAGCTCAATAACCAGCATTTTTGTGTTGACATGGAATATCATGGCGATCTTTAATTTCTGTAAATAACTTTTTTATAAAATGTGTAATTATTCAAAACACTAATGGTTGTCTACCGCCAGGCATAGAGTACCTCAGCCGTATATGGCACAGTTTTTCGGACTTTTCTATTTGTAATCGGATTTTGGAGGTTTTTTCATTGAACTCATGTGCTAAAAATATCAGTGAAATTGTAGAGAAGAAACTACATTTCATAGCATAGTGCAACTTTTTATAACAATTTATTCAAGATTTAAATTTAGGTTGTGCGCTACTATCATGGCCCATTACTAGTATATCGTACTATTATCGTATATAATGACATCAAAAAGTTTCTTTTGAAAGAATATGTATATTCAGAGGCAGTATTATCAAGAAATCGAGAGATTTGTTTTTATTTTTTTCTTTGCACAAAACCTAAGATTTTTTTTTTTTTTTTTTTTTTTTTTTGTAATAATAACCCCGGACTTCATCATGTTCATAAAAATCCTTTAAGTCCTCCGGATATTCAGTTACACTGAACACTTCAACGATCAGATTTTCTTAGTCATTTGATTGGCATGTTTACAAAATTTTACTTATCAGAAAATCCTTCAAGATACATATGGATCTGGTTGTTTATGTGCAAAATTTTCGTTAATGAACTTCGTTTAAGTAATAACTGCTTACGGAAAGTAACTAAGCTATTGATTGATGTAGAATATTTTTATAGGAGATGTCGGATATATGTCAATTAGACATCCCAGTGACAAACAGTGTCATAGACATCTAATCATAAATTCATGACATAAAATATACCGAAAATGCAATGTGAAAGTAATCAAGTTGAAAACATTTTGCTTTAAACCAGTTGTTAAGACAACTAGAATTATGACGTCAGATCACATCTGCATAGTAATTTGAAAAATACAAAATGTAAACATGCTCATGATAAGTTGACACTATGAACAAATTAACAAGTGACCATTGTACAGTATAAAAATCCTTTGAGTTTTAATCATTTTTATTAAAATGTTTAATGGAATTATTTCATAATATTGTATGCTATAGGGATTCTTGTAAATGTGTGTATAGCAAAAGTAAACGAAACGAAAACAATATAAAAATAGAAACGAAACTGCGTTTTTTTTATTGTTGTTTATCGTAAAATACACAGTTATAAGCGTATAACACTGGAGGGCATAAAGAGGCTGATTTTAGCTTTTTAACAAATTACCCTTTGTATTCGCCTCAATGATGTTTTTAATGAAAGAAGTACTAGGTAAAATATCAAAAAATCTATTGTGCACCAAAACAATATTTTGGGCACATTTTAAGGATATTGTCACTAATTTTTCCAATTTTACAAAAGTTCAAGAACTGCCGTTTATTCAAACAAGACTTTAAGTATCAACTTTTGCTTTTGGGAGTTTCAAGTCGTTTTCTCGTGATCGAATGTCTTAATTCATTTTGTTTATTTATCCATGTTAATAATTGCTACGATTCGAGTATTTAATACACTTGTTTTCTTAGAAACGAAACTTACATTCGGTTTCCGGCAATCTGTGAAACATTGTGTTGTATGTCAGTAATAAACATGTGTAAATTTGTAAACACAAAGTATTCCATCAATAAATGCAACTTATTCAGTGGATTGGTCAATATCCCAGTTAAAAATGCATTATTTGTAAATAAAATACACCTGTGACGTCAATCTTTTGTTCAAACTCTCCATTATTTTTTTTTAGGAAAGGAGAGATATTTATATTGTTCATCTTTATTCATCCGGACGGTTTGCCCTTCGGATATTTTCATGGGCACTTTCTTAAAAAGTGCTCACCCATGAAAATAATTCCAAGGGAAGTAACGCGATATTGCATGAAGATGAAATCTTACTAAAACGGCTGATACTGGATTTTTTTTAAAATTTTGGATCATAGTAATACAATGAACACCAAATATCTCATTATTAACAAATAGTTTTTATTTGTGAGTCGTAATTCTATCGTATAATATATAGTATCATATTCACTTAAAATCAACAACATTATCCACAATTTGTTTTCCGTTGCAAATCTTGTCTGAAATTCTATCACGGATAGTATCCAAGCGGGTAAAAACGAAAATTTTCCATTGAGTGCCATTCATCTTCTGTGCAACTACAAACTATTAAATGCGTTAACTCATTTTAATTCTTTTGTAATATTGAACACATTTACATTTTTCAATAATGAAAATTCGTGAACAACATATTTCACTTAAACATTTGCTTTTAATTTTACTATTTAATTTTAAATTAAAATGTTGTATTTTGATTTTGTACAGCAAAATCGTTTGTTGCAGTTTGATATATACATTACCTTCTGCTGTTGTCTGTTCTATGGTCGGGTTGTTGTCTCTTTGACACATTCCCCATTTCCATTCTCAATTTTATTAAAACCAGAACAATAACTCGGATAGTTTCTCTAATAATATTGTGGTTTAATAGAATAAATTATATTTTAAAAAAGTTAAATGGCCAAAATGGCGTATTCGGTATTTAATTTGATTGTTCGATGTTGTAATTTGAATATAGTACTAATGAATAGAATTTGAAGGGGTATGAATAACATTTGAATAAGCTTAAGGCTTGTGTTAAATATTGGGCGGTTTTTTTTCACTTTTCAACAGAAACGCGTAACATAATCAAACTCATTCACGGTTGTTTTATGTCCAGTGGCAAATATAACAGTTCTACTGTTATATCGACAGTGCAAAAAAAAAAAATGAAAACAACACGTTTGATAATATCATGCGTCCGAAGCGCTTTTCTGGATTTACGTAGAATATTACATTGGTACAGGCTAATGTTGCCATAATAACCTACAGTTTATCCCGTGTTACAGTTAATCAGTTTAGTCTCCCCGCGGACATCATCATCATTGCAGTCAGTGGTTATACTGACATGATTTATAACATACTTTTCATTATTACTACGTGTTTATTTATCTCTGGCTTTCAAATGTTTGTGTTTGAGCGTTCTTGTAGAGGAAAGGCGCTTCGGTTATAGGAAATGGAATTGCATGTTATTTTCTTTTGTATTAGATAATTGGTTCAATACCATGAATTTACCAAATAAATTTGATATATAAGGTAAAGAACATCAAGTAAAAGAAAACATTTCAAGTCACGCCTCATAGTGTGCAAAAGTAAGCATATATCATATATACACACAAGCCAGTGAGATGCAAAATGATGCTTAATGTTGAAGTCGTCACGTTGACTTTGATGAGACGAAAACCAATAAAAGCGCTCATTCGTGGTATGTGCTTTGCTGAAGTATTAGAATTCTGTATTTAGAATTGGTGCACCATACTCAATCTTTCCAGTCAATTCTGTGATATATTTTGAAATTATAAAATTCTAATTTACTGCCATGGAAGAACCCCCCTCCCCCACCCCATGGAAAATGTGTCATTGAATCTAATTGAAACCGTAATGGGAGGTAACATGTATATGTACATCACATTCTGACATGAACTATGTTAGATTTGAAGGTACGGAAAGCGTATTTGCTAAACATCAAATGATAAACATAGCATCTTGCAACACGATGCAAGACGTTAATGCAATTTGTTTTACATCAGACCTTATACATTTGACATAAATTTATTGGAAATGAATCGTGTTACATTTGATTTTGATAAAACAAATTGATCACTTTTACTTAAACTTTCAGTTGATATGTTAAATGTTTCAGGAAGTCTCAGTGTGAATGGTCATTTACAGGCAAATAAACATGCGGCAAAAATCATCTATAAGGATCCTCAGTTAAGACGTCATAATTCATATCATTACATGGATATTCGACAAGCTAGACAAGGACCCTTAATTCACCATAATAGTCAAAGATCAACTGGTAAACAAGGTAGGGAAATCAATACAAAGCATATTTGAAGGCTAGGAATATCTATTCCTTATCGTATAATATAGTTGTCCTCCTTTTTCTTTACGATTACATTGACTCAATGACTTTTACTTTGCTGTTTAGTTGACAAGTAAAAAAATAAGGTTAAAAAGATAAAAAAATCTGTTACACACATATTTTTTTAAATCGCGTTTTTAAATTGTCAGGTTTTTTTTATCTTGCTTTCATAAAAAAGTATTTTAAGATGAGGGAAAAAGAATCATAGTAAAAAATAATGTAATGGGTACGTAGGAAATAGGTTTAAACATTGTTTTTATTTCTATACATTGTCGATTGTCTTATGATATTTAATTGTTTTTCTTAAAACAATGTAAAAGATGTAATAACAATTAAATCCTTTTACATTTACATACATGTATCAGAATAATAATAACGATTGTTTTGACATTTGATATATTTATTTCATAACCTTCATCAAAAAAGGAACATTTGAAAATAAAACATTCATGTGATTTATAGTTGTTTTATCAATTTGGCAACAAAGTTGATAGTATTATTCACAAAATTGTGAGCCTTAAGCTTTAGCACAATAAGTAAGAAGGAAAAATACCTAAAACTGTTTACCGACAAATATTTTTTACTTCATGTCATATTCAATAAATAAAATTTTACTTCCATACATAAAGATAGATGAATAACTTGCATGAATTTTCATCCATTCCTAACCGTATTAGATTTGTTTTATAGAAGTTAGTCTTTTATATTTTACCTCTTATTATGTATACTATGCTATAAATCATATTATTATACCTTACATATATTTCAAACAATTCTATTGGGTAAAACGTTATCACGTGACATGGAATAATTCAGTTAATTTTCATTCAATTGCAAGGAAGAACGAATAACCCTAAAAATTTACACCAGCGTTGAATAACCCTATTATTCACCGGCAAATAACCTAGTTTGTTGATTTGTACTCATGAAAATGACGTCACAAACGTGAATAAACAAAATGGCAACGTTCAAGTTACAGGAAGCCCATTGATCGAGAGAAGCGGAAATAAGGCTTTTGACGTGCATCTTGTGCCGATGATATCTCTAATAACGGTCCTTTTCAGGGCCATCAATATTTTACAAAAAGAATATACCTTTGTTGTACATACGAGAATTCTAAGACACAAATTACATGTATTTTTGAACGTCAACTTGTGTTTGTTACTGACTCAAGTAAGGGTAAGTGCTTTTACAATGATTCAAAATGCCCTTCCACTGTTAGTTCGGTATAATAAAACAATTGTGGCCCCTTAGAAGCGATGAATATCCAAAATTGTCAACCCTTAAAAGTTATTTCACTTCGGGCTGCGCCCTCAGTGAAATAACCTTCTTGTGTTGACAATTTTGAATATTCACCTTTTCAACGGGCCATAATTGTATATTGTTATAACATGTATTGGAAATAAACTTATCAATTGTTTGTCTATCATTTAAGAATGAATGACAATGAATTATAATTAAAAATTAAAACCGTGTCTTTCGTTTTAATTTTATTAAAAACCATAGAAGTGACCAGATGCTTGCGATTTGCATATGAAATTATCAATTAAATCTCTTAAGTTAACATTGATCTGATCAACCGTTCTATCGATTTATATGAATCAAAACAGTTATAGACTTTAGTAAGCAGTTACTACAATTTTTTAGATAATTGCCTGGAAAAGATTTTTCATTTCATAATATGTAAACATTTCTTTCTGAATAATGTGTAATATTGAAGAACTCATCAATCATGAGTATGAGATTATAATGAAAGACATGTTTTTGTATAATATACCACTTCTGTCCCTTTAATCAGAAATGGTTATGACTAAACAAAAGATGTCAGATATGCAAACTGTGAAATCAGAAGGCTTTGATAATTCGAAGATGCATAGATCTGTGTCGATGAACAGTTTCATAGACACATCAAGAGGTATCAGAACCAAGCATCCCTTACAAGCTGACCATAAACAAAGCAAGGAAGGACATTGTGAGTATGCAGTCATGTGATCAACATTGATATTAACTACAGAGCAAGCGAATTAGTAGTTTAGAATTATCTATCATTGATATCAAATCGTAACTATATGGTAAAAGAGATGCTAAATTAAAAATGAAAATCTGATTGTCGGCTTTTCGATATAAGGTATTGATTGTTCTACAATAGAAATATAAGTTGGTAAGTTCTTTTGTTTTTAAATTGTATGCGAAAGATACCTTACTCATTAATCGAAAACAATAAGTTGCATATTATTTACACTTTTTCGTTTATCTCAGCGTTAAGCTAACAGTGTAGCCTTCTTTGAAATAATCAAATGTCGACTTTTCCAGGTGTTCTATTGTAAGGCAATTGCTAACATATTGTACATGTGAGATTGGAAGGTGTCACCGTTATAAGATTATCTTTCTGTAATATCTTATTATTTCCATACAAGTAAATGTAGTCCAATTATTGTAAAATCTATGGTAGTTAATAAAATTATGTATTCATATCAGCACACGTTTTCCTTTTCTCATTTTTACTATTGTATGGATAATACATTAGGTAATTAATAATATTATATGACGTATACCTCTAATATAAATACTATTTAGTGGCGGTCCAAATCCGGTTCAAACAATCAAAGGGTCCTACAATTACGTCATTTGTTCTCTGGTGGAAAGACGTCTCATTGGCAATTATATCACGTCTCCGTATTTTTTAATGCAATACGTCAACATATACAGATTGGTATTTTTTTCATCTAGTTACTGTCGTTTTGATTAAATAAGTAAGATAACAACAGAATGACAATAAAAATTGTATAAAAAATATATAAACATTACTATTTTTCAGCAAATAGCAGTGTGACAACATTTAGAATGAGCCAAAGTTTCAGGCAAGAAACGCAAAACAGAAGTATGTACTACATTATTTCATTAAAATAGTATGACATGTATGAGATAAACAATGAAAGCCTTTGTATTTTCTCCTAAAATTGTGAAACACGAAAGCGATGAAAATGTTCATATTTGATTCTCTAATTTTTTACTCGTGCATCTTATTATAGTTATTTTTTGTCAAAAGAAATAAGAAGATGCGGTATGAGTGTCAATGAGACAACTCAGCATCCAAGTCACAATGTGTAAAAAGTAAACAAAATGCTGTAACGCATATTCACACCTTACGGACTTCATTCGGAGGAGTGTGGTACTTGCTCAAAACTGATACAACGGATTAATAAGGAATAACTATAAATTCTTAGTTCAAATATTTATATAAATGGAAAAATCTCATTATTCTTTCAATCTATAATGAATTGTACTATTCTATATGCCATTTGGTTTGTAGCAAGTAAACGTACTGTTGTTGTTGGTTTCTGAAGATTTAAATAAAATCATCTCCTCAAACTTTAAAATCATATCATATAGTTTTCTTTCTATACATTTGTTTCTCTCCTACAAGTCTTTAAAAGTAAGAAAATGTTGCACCTACTTCAACTTGAAAATAAGCTAGATGTCATGAAATGTTTGGGGATTTGTGTGAAATGAACTACTTTTTGGACAACTATAAAATTGTTTTGTCACTGTAATTTATACACCAGAACTACCGTGATTTTCAAACAAAAATATGTTTAAGTTTCAAATTCAATTAGATATACGTTAACAAATTATATAAAGAATGCATTTATGATTGATTTTTAAGTTTAAACTAATTCGTGTCACAGCCAAATGAGGACGTGTGGTTTGGCTTTTGAATTGTGTCACAATGTCATTTAGGGGCATCGAATACTGTAAAAGAAGCTCGTACAGATATTTTAATCAATGCTATTTTTCAATATGTTAATATTGTCTAATAAGAAAATTTCTTTATGATTTTCAACGACATAATCTATGCTTCAAAATTCACAGCTCAATCAGACTGTTTTCTTTTTTAGAATATTCAGCTCCATCTCAACAACATAGATCATTTAAGAGGGAAAATAGTCAAAGGTAATATTTTGAAATAAATTTAAAAAGTAATTAGGTCTTCCCATTTCTCCTTTGCAACCGTCAAAGATTATTATGAAAAGTTATTTTCCAAAATTGTTTGTAACATCAGGATGTCAAAGATAATGTTGGCCGAGGTGATAAGGAGACTCCGTATGAGAGTTATTTCCTTTGTGACATAGTGAAATGTAATGGTATTTCATCAACCAGAAATGATCGACCAAGATATATGATTTTTTAGTTTTATGTGCTTTTTCCACTAGAATGAAATGGAGATAAATCTATAACATTGGGTTAAGAAACACGTCTATACCCCAACCAATATCTTAACCAGCAATTGGACATTACGGATATTGTCATATCAACAACACTCGTTGCAGTAAGGTAATGGACACCAGTCAATCAGTTTTAAAAATGATTACCACATTGTATCTGCTATGCAGATCAATCAGATCAAAAGATTGATTAATTAGCAGTAATCCTGTCAGTATTTAATTTGCTCTCTGTAAGTTCATCCACCTATGACTATTGTGTAAGTGTTTAACAAGCAAACATTACAAATAATTAAAAATGTACATTTACATTAATGAACCGATGTACACTGATTTCTTTTGTTAAGCGACTCATAGGATTCCTGGTCATCACACGAGATTTACGATACATGTCCGAAAGTCGATTGTTGTCCACTTTGTTCTTAAATTACTTTGAACTGTGTATATTTGGAATGAACGTAAGACACGCTGTATCTCTTCCGACATCAGAAATTAATATTTCAAAAAGTATAGCAAATACATCGAACTTCAAGGTAAGTTCAAAAAGGGGGAAGTCCACAAAAACTGACGAAATCAAACGTTAGACTTTATCAACCAACGGAACTAATGGAAAACAACTGTCATATATTGATTCATGATTTGGAACAGACGTTTTCTGAAGAAAATGGTTAACTGAAAATGAATTTGAAATTTAATGCATTGAAATCGCAAATACATTCACGTTTAGAGTATTGAAACGAAGTATTTGATACAAACATTTAGCTTTTTCGTTTTTCGCAAACACTATATCAAATCAAAAATGACAGTTAAAACCGATATTTAATGAAATGGTTAATTATAATATAACATGTATAAGGATCTTCATAATGTTTTATTGATATGTTTAGTTTTGTTAACATGTTAAATCACTTCACAAAATGTTGCTTCTAAAATGAATTTTGTAAGTCTTCATTATGTTCAGAATTTCTTTTTCCTGTTATTTGAAGTTTCTGACAGACGCTGTTCATATTTACTTAATTATGTGGAATCTATTCGCTTGTAGTGGAAATTAATAAGATGGTAACGTACATTTTCTGTTGTTATGCAATTATTGAAAAATGTTGTAAGCTGCTTTGCTACTAAATTTAGATATAAACGCACTACACTTGCACATGTTGCATGACTTGGTGATCTGTCATGTTTGAGTCTTTCTTAACGTCAAAGCACGTAGTTCTATAAAGTTATATGTCCTATGGCTATTTCAATATCTTGGATTATAGCATGATTTATTTTAGAAAAAGTCCCACCTGAGCCCTTTAAATATATTTAATACAAGTTAATGAGACTGTTTTGCCCCTCATATTCTTTGTTCGTTCAATGCATTTAACTAGACGAACAATTAAATACATTGAAAACCTCGAGATAGTTGTTGTTAAGAACCTTCTGGTATAAGTTTTGTTAGCACTGCCCATTTACGCTTGATAAGATACTTACTGTAGTTAAATACGTTCTAATTCGACATTTCATCTGATTGTTTAGGTTTTGTTACAAAATGGTTCTTCTTTCGACTTGAAGTAGTTTCTGCGACAGAGGTATATTTTTATAGATCTTGAAAGTGTTTTACCATGTAATACCACAAACCGACGAAATAACTTTAATTCTTGCGTTTGTCTTGTACGTCTTCTTAAGCTTCGCCTATTTGTGATTTCTAATTCAAATTTGTTTTTGTTTTTTTTTGGTAGATGCAATATTTCTTCTTTTTCATTTTTTATTATTGAATAGAGCACGATATATGAAGATGAGAAAGATTTTCTGTTTAAAATGTTTTTTCTGAAATTTTGTTGTTTTTCGCAAAAGATAAAATTTTATACACACAAATGAAGTATTTCATTTCTTCTGTTGCTTATTAATTTCAATTGTTTTATCCATATGGTTACCAGTAATTCGATTTACAGACATCATTGCTGTTGAGCATATTTTGGGTTTTGATTTATCAATCAATAAAAAAATATGTATAAATAAAGAAACATGTTTGCAGGACCAGACTAATAGTAGGCTCAAATATTGTTTTTATCTTCAAATGGTCCACAACAACAAACAATAGGGACTACCGTTTTGTATGCCCCCACCCCACCGTAAGCAATGGGGGCATGAAGTGTTACCCTTGACCGTACTTCCGTACGTCTTTTCGTACGTCCTTCCATCTTCTCATTTTCATTTCCGCACTCTAACTTGAGTTTTCTTCATTCAAATTTTATGAAACTCATACATAATGCTGTGAACTAATACTTGCAATCAGAGTTTGAATTTGGGTAGTGAGTCACTTACTTTTCTAGAATTATGTCCCTTTATAACTTGGAAAATTGCATTTTTTGTTCGTTTCCGCACGTTTTCTTAAGTTTGATCCATTCAAATTTTATGAAACTTATAAACAATGCTTAGAACCACAACACACAGACAGAGTTCGAATTTTGGCATGAGTCATTTACTGTTCTAGAGTTATTCCCCTTTTTATCCTGGAAAATTGCAAATGTTTCAGTTTCCGCACTCTAACACGTTTGTCTCGTCCACATTTTATGAAACTCATACACAATGCTAAAAACCACAAAATGCAGAGTTATGCCCCTTTTTGGCTTGGAAAATAGCAAAGCTTGAGCGGGGTATTCGTGTCCTCAGACATATTCTTTTTTTTTTAATTTTCCACTGATACAGGATTATAAATTCATGACATTCGGCTCAACTACTAGAACATGGGAACAAAGCTTCTAAATTTGTTTTTGTCGCATAATGGAGATGAGGGCTCCAGCATCTAACTGCAGGGTTAAACTCTGTCACTGGTATCACTGACTGATTTGTATAACGGTGTTTTTTTTTTTTAAAGAGGATAAATCAGCTCTACTTACTTGATGACAAGAAGATGTTGATGCTCCTAAAAGGACGATAGAATGAACATGCATATGTACGTTCGACTGCAACAATTTGTCGCTCCTAATCCAAAAATCTATAATATGTTTTTCATAAGAATATCAAAAATTTGTATGGAATATAAGTATCATTTGCTCAATTCCAATGATGCATCTGAGAAAACAGTCGAGAAGCAACATCGAATACACCATTGAGAGATTCATTTAAACATCAGCCTATCGCTATAACAAAATCGGTAACCACTTTGTCAGGTTGAAATTAATTTTCAAATTTAGCTTAGGTAAATAACTGGGGAGAAACTTTTAAGATAAACCTCAGCCACTGATGAACATTGTGTAGACAAAACGTGCATCCAGTGTACACAACTATAAACCTTGTATAGTTGATGAGTTTTTACCACCTCTGAGTCACTGAACAATAGACTGTAGCTTACTTATCTGGACGGACTCCCAGATTGTATAACAGAAAGGGACAAAGAATGTGGTTTATTAAGGCAGACAATGTCTTGCTCCACCAGAATATTAAAAACTTGTTTTGTTTCGGATTTGCTTGGTATCTCGTGGCACTAAAATATGAGTTTGAGAGATCAAAATCTCTACAATATGACAAGACAGAAAGTTGCAAATAAACAAAAAAACATGAAAATAGTTGTTTAGTGTATTCCTGTCTGAAAAATTATTTCAATGGATAAGTTGTTCTTTATAATTGCCGTGCAAAGTCATATAAAGTACCAATAGCGTCTAACGCACTCTTTTAGAACTTGAATTTTAAAATCAGGTAATATTTATTAGAAAAACTATTGGTTTTATGATTTCATTTCACAACGAAACGTTTCCTTTGTTTTATTGGAAATCGACTCGCATTGGGTTAAATTGAGACCATTTATTTGATATGATTCTTCGAAAAATCTGACAATTGTCAAAAGTTTCTACGTGTTTTCATTTATTTGTCGTATCACTTCAAATAAAGAAGAAAAGTATTTTAATACCCCCAACCACATGCATACAAACGCTTTGCAGAGCGAAACTATGTACATTTGTTACATTTGTATTTTCCAATCCCCTGACATACGTAACGTGTATTCCTGTATTCCTTTTAGTCAACATTAGTATTTTCATGCCAGTTCCTATGTACGGCTAAATGGGCTGTTAATATCCTCGGGTACTATAAATGACCTTCAAACTTATGAGGTGCCATCCTCACGACACTTTTAAAAGTAATGAAAAAGGGATATTGTATTTACAGTTTTATTTACGCAGTAAACACTACAAACTGCTCAGAGTCTGAAAAGACCAGTTTTTGTGCTCGACCAGTAAAGTCGAGCACATATTTTACTCGACTTGTCTCGACAGTACTTAACTGTACTCGACTTTGGTCTCGATTTTACTTAATAAGTCTGATTCAGTAATTGATGATCTTGGTGTAGTCTGAAATGGTCTCGACCAAGGCTCGACCTTTCTCGACCAGTCTCGACCAGTCTTGACCAGTCTTGACCTGTCTCGACCAGTCTCGACTCAGTCTTGACTCAGTCTCAATCAGTCTCGACCTGTCGCGACTAGTCTTGACCTTCAAGTTTAGTCTCAACTGGTCTGAATCAGCCCATCTAACTTAATTAAATATTGATCTTACAAAATTCCAGGTTATTTGGTAGTTGGTTCATTGCTTGGAAATAAAGAAGTAAATTATTAGGTAAAAAAAGCAAGAATTTTCAGTTTTGACTAAATTCAGATAGTCGTCTTTAATAATTTCTATAACTTTTTCAAATTAACTTGGATTTTCATAAAACTATAAAGCTATCTCAATTATACATTGATCTTATTGAATTCCAGGTCGTTATGTAGTTTGGTATATTGCTGTCAAACTTAATAATGCAATTAATAGGTAAAAAAAGCTAGAATTTTCAGTGGGACTGAATTCAGCTAGTCAACTTTAAATTTGTTTATTATTTTTTTCAAATTAACTTGGATTTTCATATAATTATACAGCTATCTCAGTTGTTAATTGATCTTACTGAATCCCATGTTATTATGTAGTTTGGTGTATTGCTGTCAAATTTAAGGATTAAATTAAAAGGTAAAGAGATTTTTCATTTTGGTTAAATTCAGATAGTCAACTTTAATTGTTTCTATAACTTTTTCAAATCAACTTGGATTTTCATCAAACTCTACATCTTTCTCAATTTTACATTGATCTTACTGAATCCCAGGTCGTTATGTAGTTTGGTGTATTGATGTTAAATTTAAGGATGTAATTGATAGGTAAAAAAAAGCTATAATTTTCAGTCGACTGAATTCAGATAGTCAACTTTAAATTTGTTTATTACTTTTTCAAATTTACTTGGATTTTCATAAAACTATACACCTATCTCAGTTGTAAATTGATCTTACTGAATTCCACGTTGTTATGTTGTTTGGCATATTGCTGTCATATTTAAGGATTTAATTAATCAAGGTAAAAAAAGCTAGAATTTTCAGTTTGGACTAAATTCAGATAGTTACCTTTAAATATTTTTATAACTATTTCAAAAAAAAAATTGGATTTTCATCAAAATCTACAGCTATCTCCATTATATATGTATCTAACAAAATACCAGGTTATTTGTTAATTTGGTTTATTGCTGTCAAATTAAAATATTTAGGCCTTTTAACCTATCACCTAAGTCCGTACATTTGACAGCAATACACCAACATACAAAACAACCTGGCATTTTTGTAAGATAAATATATAATAAAGATAGCTGAAAAGTTTGATGAAAATCCAAGTTGATTTGAAAAATAAATAAAATTTTAAAAATGCCACCTTTGTTTTGTTAAAACAAGAATTTAATATAATCATGATAATAGAACTTTCATAGGAATCCTTGATAGCCTTTTAAAATAATTAAGATAAAAAGAAAGCCCTTTTTTTCTTAAACTCATGTATTACTTATCTAGTGAATTCAAAAGGCCTTGCGATTTAAGTTAAACAGGATGTTGCAATTTTGAATGAATGTTATTTAGAATTTAATACTCTCTGACCAGGTTGTGATCTTTTTAATGAGTTTGCCCCAAGCAGGAGGTATTACTTTATACTTCACCACTAATCAGAAGAGCAATTTTATTAATTTCTTTATTTTTTTATCCGCTTTTGATATATATTATATATACTATATCCCAAATTATAATAATAAATATATTTCTAATATAACATGTATAAGGTTACGGGTGCGGGATTTTCTCGCTGCGTTAAAGACCCATTGATGGCCTTCATGTGTTGTCTGCTCTTTGGTCAGGTTGCTGTCTCTTTGACATATTCCCCATTTCCATTCTCAATTTTATTACACAATTTCAGTGATTTTGTTGGCTGTTGTTACCTCGTTAAAAACATAATATTATAAATATTGTATGTAACCATGAAATCTAGGTTTAACCCAAACTACATAACGACCTGGGATTCAGTAAACATTGTATAATTGAGATAGCTTTATAGTTTTATGAAAATCCAAGTTGATTTGAAAAAGTTATAGAAATAAATAAAGACGACTATCTGAATTTAGTCAAAACTGAAAATTCTTGCCTTTTTTTTTATCTATTAATTTACTTCTTTAATTTCCCAGCAATGAACAAATACCAAATAACCTAAAATTTTGTAAGATCAATATTTAATTTAGTTAGATGGGCTGATTCAGACAAGTTGAGACTAAATTTGAAGGTCAAGACTAGTCGAGACAGGTCGAGACTAGACGAGACTGAGTCGAGACTGGTCGAGATAGGTCAAGACTGGTCAAGACTGGTCGAGACTTGTCAAAAAAGGTCGAGCCTAGGTCGAGACCATTTAAGACTGCACCAAGATCATCAATTACTGAATCAAACTTATTAAGTAAAGTGGAGACCAAAGTCGAGTACAGTTAAGTACTGTCGAGACAAGTCGAGTAAAATCTGTGCTCGACTTTACTGGTCGAGCACAAAAACTGGTCTTTTCAGACTCTGAGCAGTTTGTAGTGAAACCATTTCACAATTTTTACAGCACCTCTATTCAGAACATTTGGACATTTTGATTTCTCCCTCTATGTCTTAGTTAGTGAAGGGTATAGATGTATAAATGACTTTTCACACATTTTTAATCGATATATGGTAAGGCCATACGATAGATATGTTACAGCTGATACATGGGAAGTTAACAATTGGAAAGCTAAAATCATCACGATTTTTATCCATCTTCAAAGTCCATCTTTGCCAATTTCTATGAAAAGATAAAGATATGAAGTATACCTATTAATAGTATCCAAAATTTCAAGTTGACAGGGATGCATGAAATAAGATCTGTCACTGAAATGCAGGTTATTGATCCATGAGTAACAGGACATCATCAATGTATCTGAAACTGTAATTACAAATGTTTTTTTTTTCTTTTGTCTATTGATGGTTCTGTTTCATAACAGTACAAAAATAAGTCTGTCATTAGAAGTACCCAATTAGTGCCCATTGCAATAGTTATCCTTTCAATAAGGGCATCTCCAGATGCAAAACATGTTTTTCTATTTAAAATAGCCTATCTGGGTGAGTCTCGCATTTGCTCGTTAAATTTCTATTTTCAGCTTAAATGTATCAAGCCCTTTTTTTTAAGATTTGGCAGTTCGATTATATTACTATGTCAAGAAGTAATTTGTAAAACTTGAAAAAATATTCAATAAGCATTCAAGAAGATATAAGATCGAATGTTAACCTTTAATAGATAGATTACCAACTGTATCATATATGATTATTGCGATCTCAATTTTAAAATATTTTTAAGAACATTATGCATTATTGATTTTTTTATTTCGTTGACAATGTCCAAGGAATTCAAGGATTGCGATGATGGTGTGTGAAGGGAAATTGGAGACGTAAGTTTTTAGACGGACTGGAGGTGTTTCCAAAAAAACCGGAGAACGACAACATTTTAAATTATCAACTGACGAAGAAAAGTAAGCAGAGTAGAATGAAGTGTGATTAGCTAATTCGGTTTTTTGCGGATTTTTATTTAGTTGAACATGTTGAATAAAACGGTGTCAACTTACCTTGACCGAGTCGATTACCGATACAATAATCAAAACGTATCTATGTCAGTTGTTGAGTGTATTACACTTTTAATATGAATAACCATGATTTATGTGTACACCTGCGGTTAAGTTAAGAGCTTTTCTAACTGTAAAATTAATGTTTACCTAGGAGAGAATACATTGACCAATTCGAGCGTGATGCTGGATTAGAAACAGGTAAGGTTTCAAATATGAATATTTACATTTTTAGTTTTCTCCTTTCCAATCAAAAGTTTATTTCATATAAGTGAAAATATTATATTTTCAAGATTTGTTGATTTTTGGAGCAATCTGATACCGCTAATTGAAAAGCTAAAAAATACATGTTTATGGATTATGCTTATATAAACATGAGTTTATACTACGTTTTATCTATTTGAATAATTACAAACGATCTGTCATTTCAGGAAGAACAGAAATGTGGTAAGTTTTTAATTTAATCATATCACCTAGATGTGATATTACAGGAAATATTGAATAATATATACTAATGATAGCAAGCATTAGAAAAATTGATAGTAAGGTCTTTCAACATTTCCATGGAAAGACCTTGTGATTTTGTGTTGACTATTATTAGCTGTTTCCAATTTCCCGTGGAAGCACCTTTTGATTTAGTCCTCATTATAAGGTATTTCAACTTTTCCTTGGAAAGTCCTTTTGAATTTGTTCAGATTAATATGTTTTTTCTTCTGCAAAATTTGTTTCTTGCGCTGCTTGCTTGTTTGTTTGCTAGAGATCGCTTAGTTGTTTGGTAAATGATATTGAACAGTTAATACGTTTTTTAAACTGGCACAGCCTTATCGAATAGTTAATTTCCCGAACACTGATGTTCTTCTTATTTAAAAGAGATCGACAAATTTATTTTTTTTCAAAATTGTTCATTATATCCTGATATGTTCTGTTTTATTTTGATTAAAAGAGAAACGGAGACTCCATATGAGAGTTATTTCCCTTTCTGTATTAGAAGTTGTGTTTAACTCATGAACCGCGCTTTTAGCAGCCAGTTCGGTTCAGTTTTGTCAAAATAAGCTAAAAACATTGCTGATGATTTATTCACTTGCAAGTGAATAATTCGACCTCATGGAATCCGTATTCATGTGACCTCTAATTTAACTCTTGACTAGAGGTGTGTAGCGCATAAACAAGGCGTGTTCAATTATTAAAAGGAAAAGAATGTCAACATTGCAAGTGAACCAAGGCTACACTATTTGGTTGACTGTGCGTTGATCCACAAAAACTCATTCTTATACAGGTAAAAACGACGATTAACATATGTTTTTAAACCTGAAATATGAAATCAAAGACATAGAAAAATCCAATTGAACGTGTTCGCCATCTATTTATACCTATAATCATGTTTATATCTGGTTATATGACCGTCGGCAGTCTTCGGATGTCACCTCGATTGTTAATTAGATGACGTCTAGACTAACATATACACGAAAAGCTGATACATATTATCGATTACTTGCATCGTGAATTGTTTATTTTAGACTCCATATGAGAGTTATTTCCCTTTCTGTATTAGAAGTTGTATTTAACTCATGAACCGTAACATTTTTTTCTTTGTAAGAGTTATCTCCCCAAACAGTGTTTTTCTTGTTATTGCTACTCCTTCGCAACCGTGACAGAAGATATCAAAGGGATATCCAAACTCATTAGTCGAAAGCAAACTGACAAAGCAATGGCAGGAAATGAAAAATGGCCAGGAGGCAAAACCAGTCGAAAAAAAACACAACCTTGATAAATAAAAGACTGATCAACACGAACCCCGCCAAAACCAGAAAGGATTCCCAAAATTACCAAAAGGACAAGCCATATATATAAACATAACGCAGACACTGAGCACAAATTGACACCTAGAAAACAATGAGGCTTCCAGAGGTCGAATTTAGTCCTCATATAAGAAAATGGTTAACACGCATTTCACATCAAATTTAAATCTATACCAATTGTTAAAACAGTGCCACTTTTTGGAATAGTTATTATAATAATCAACTAATGGATCATTTGATCACATAGCATTTTGCTGATTTCCATTGTTATATCGTATCCATACATTAGTTGGTAAATATATCTAAGTTATTTCTTAAAGGGGCATTTTCTATGAAATACAAGAAAAATATGTTTTTTTTGTTTTTTTTTTCAATCATTAATGAAAGTGAAATAGTGAAATAACAATTCGCTTTTAGCAGCTAGTTCGGTTCAATTTTGTCAAAATAAGCTAAAAAACATTGCTGATGAATTTTTCACGTGAAAGTGAATAATTCGACCTCATTGAATCCGTATTCATGTGACCTTCAATCTAACCCCTTGACTAGAGTAGTGTAGCGCATAAACAAGGCGTGTTCAGTTATTAAAAGGAAAAAAATGTCAACATTGCAAGTGAACCAAGGCTACACTATTTGGTTGACTGTGTGTTGATCCATAAAAACTCATTCTTATACAGGTAAAAACGACGATTAACATATGTTTTTAAACCTGAAATATGAAATCAAAGACATATAAAAATCCAATTGAACGTGTTCGCCATCTATTTATACCTATAATCATGTTATTATCTGGTTATATGACCGTCGGCAGTCTTCGGGGGTCACCTCGATGGTTAATTAGATCTTCTAGACTAACATATACACGAAATGCTGATACGTATTATCGATTACTTGCATCGTGAATTGTTTATTTTAGACTTTTTTTAATTTGGATATACGTTTTAGTGTGTTATAAATCAAATATGAGAATTTGAGTCTAATCGGTGAACATGAATTTGACAGCTAATGCCCCTTTAGATTTGATGGAAATTAGAAGGATTTTGACAATTAGATCGTTGAAATCATCACGTTTGTCAAAGATTCTATATTAAATTCGTCCATCTCTGTCATTGTCAAGGAAAAGATCAAGCAGACCTTCTTGCCTCTGTAGTTTCCGTTTCGAAGTTCACTGGGATATATAAGATATAATCATTAATTGAAATGTCAAGAATACAGTCATAAACTTCTGTGAGTCTGTGAACATTTATTCGGCTTGATAGTTGCTCGGTAGACGTATACCCTTATCTGTATCAAACAAATATGAAGGCAACCTATACTAGGCATTGGTTGCTATAACAAACAATAATCCCCTTAAGAAACATAAATCTAGTTAAACAACTTACATAAGATAGAGGATATATTCTATTTACGCTTGCTACTTATTTTCGGATTTGATTATTTAGGAATATCGAAAATCTGTATGTTCCAACAGAAGAACTTTATGTAATGGATGGTGACAGAAGTGGTTTGTGTGTCATTTTTAATATGGAAACAGTTGGAACTACGTCAAGATTTGGAACAGAGATTGATGTGAATGGACTGAAAAAATCTTTCGGAAATTTAGGATTTGACTTGGAAGTAATACAAAATCCAACAAGGAGAGCTATCAAGGATTACATGAATAGTGGTACGTAAACATTGCGAATAAAATCCTGTTATTAAAATAGTCGAAAACGAATTACTAGTATTCTAGCTAGAATATCAGATTAAAACGACACTGAGAAGACATGTTACAGATTTAGTGAAACTGCTAATGAGACAAATATCTACCAGATACAGTACCAAAATGACGAAGAAGTGGTCAATTATAGGTCACCGTACGGTCTTCAACAATGAGCAAAATCCACATCGCAAATTGAAAAAATGACTGCTTTCAAGCATGTTAGTTTAATTTATAAATGAATAGAGGAATATAAAAAATAGAAATTTTGTGTAGAAATATGATATCATATAATATTGATTGTATAGTGTTTTGTATTTCATCCATTTCTTTATTTGTAATGCACGTGTTTGATAGAAGAAAAAAGCAATATCACCATAAGCTTGGATGGATGGATGGTTATTTAACGTCCAGTGGCATGTCAGATGCATATTCAAGACGAGAAAATAATTAGAAATTAATACTAACCCTGCTTTGTAATAGACCGACATGCTGTGTCAGATTTTTAACGTTCTAGCACACAAGATACGTTTGCAGGAAGACATGTTACCTTATCCGGACACATTATTTTGACTACGGGCCAACACGTCTTTGCTCTGACTCCTTAAATCAATGTACTTGAGGGAGAATCAGCAAACAATAATTTATTGTCATAAGTTTGACCAGGCCTAGGTTCCAACACACGACCTCCCGCACTTGAGGCGAGCACACTCACCATTACACCATAAGCTCTGAAGGAAGATATTCTTTATCATCAAAAAGCTATGCCAAAGCAAAGCTTTCATCCTTTCACTGTTTAAAGTTGGTCCTGTGACCTTGAAAGTCAATAAGGTTCTTGTTTTGATAAGGAGAAAACATAACTCTTAAACCGTGACCTTTGACATATTATCATAATAACTACCATCAATGATCTAGTTTATATCCAAAGCTTCAATTGTTGCAGAAATTGGAATATACTTTTATAAACTTCTTTAATTACTAAAGTATGCAACAAAAAGCAAAAAAAAAAAACCAGTACTGACAGGACTAAAATCAGAAGAATCAAGGTACTTTTAAACATATTTATTTTTTCACACTCCAATTCTCCTTGAGATATCGTCTGTCCTTTTCTTACAGGTTTCTGAAATGAACAAAAGAAATTTGTTAATAAGAGCAGTACTCCAAGTACCCTGTTTAGCATATAACTATAACCCCAGTCAGTTGTTGTACTCCCTTTTAATGAAGCTTTCATGTATGCAAATTTCATCTAATCCATCAAGGAAAACTTATGCTATTTTATGCAATCCATGTAATTATCAAGATAGTCAAAAAAAAACATAAATGATATTTTACATATCAATGGCAATTGTTACATATGTAAATCTCAATGTTTTGCTTGCAGGATAAAGACAATATATGCAAGGTCATTATACAGAAAATAGAATTTACTAAGGCTCCGTACAAAATATATAAATTGAGTTTGCTTTTTTAAGCTTGCAAAAAATAATTCCATCGTCAAGAACATGACAATGTATTATGTTAATGTCACTTAATAAATAGGAAGCATGGTTGATAAATGTTATATTGCTGTAAGTGGCTCATACATTTTTTGTTACTTGATATTCAAATTGCAAAAACAAACTTTTAGATATATAGCACCTTCCACTAAAATGCATAAGATATTTTATTCAAACGAAAAATACCTTGTATTGTGGTCTTCCTGGCTTGTGTGGGACCTGTTTGAGGTAGCGAATTCAGACTTCCTTCTTATCTGCCACCTTGGCTTTTGGAAACACTATTGCACAACATTTTGAAAAAGTAAAACATAATTAAAAAGACATATTTCATTATTATTTTATCTACTTTTAACTTTTGTATATATATATAGTAACTTTATATAACTTTGCATTCTATGTTTCTATCTAAAACATGTAAAAGAGTAAACGAGAAACATCATATTCATATTCATCATATGTATTCTTTTTGAGATTAAAGTCAGATGCAAAATCCATTCTATATTAATTGCACTAGTCAACTTACTCATGATCATTCTGCACAAAGGGTGACCTGTGAATGCCTATTTTCCCTGTTGCCCCTTAAAACTGCATTTGGCCCATAACTGATTGGTGCCACATTTTTTCATCATTCTTCTCATACAGTCTGAAGGGTTGTGACCACCTTGTGACACCAAACTACAATTTAGTCCTGTTGTTATTCAATGCATTAGGTATTTTTCGTGAAATCAAATATTTGTGACTCATTGGATTATCTAAGATAACTTACACAACTTAAATACCCTAGCTACATAAACATACACTTACAATTTCTATCCCCAATTATGCCCTATATAAAAACAAGGAGATGTGGTATGATTGCCAATGAGACAACTATCCACCAAAGTTTTAATGAAGTGGATGTAAGCAATTATAGGCAACCGTACGGCCTTCAACAATGAAAAAAACCATACCGTATGGTCGGCTATGAATGTCCCCGACATGAAAAATATGAAACAATTCAAGTGAGAAAACTAACGGCCTAATTTATAACAAAACAATTTACGAAAAACAAATATGACAGACATGAACCAACGACAACCACTAAACTACAGGCTCCTGACTTTGGACAGGCACATAGAGAATGTGGCAGGGTAAAACATGTTTGTGAGCGCTCAACCCGCCCTCTAACCTGGGACAGTGGTGTAACAGTACAACATAAGAACAAACTATAAAAATCAGTTGAAAAAGGCTTAACTCATCAGATGGATACAAATAGAAATACATCTAACAAAAAACAAAGAGTGGACGTGGACGGGTACTTATTCATCCACACAACAAAAAGACACTAAGTACGTATCTGAGAGTACTCGCAGTTACAGGCAGCTAGTTCAAAGCCAATAACAACTAATAAAAAAATCATGTATCTAAGACAAAAATATTAATCAGTACACATCCAACATCCAATGGATTTAGTGTAAAGACGTCATTAACAGTCAGAGAAAAGCATGACCTTGTGCAATGCCAAACTATAGGTATTGACAGATTGTAGTACCGTGAAAGTACATATGTGTAATATTTAGTATGGTATTAATTTACTGATAAAAAAATCAATATGTACAGCAATAAAAACAATGTTCAAAGATGTAATTACAGTGTTGAAAAGGTAACCTTTTAGAATAAGTGCATTTTAAGGATTGTTAAGTGTACCCGGATCGTATCTAAATTTCCGGGCTCGGTTTATAACATCACCGTCAAATTAAGGATGTGCTATTCCGTTTGAAATGCATTTTACCTATGACTTTAAAAGTACAAACATTAGTGAAATTATATTACTTAAGTTTGATTATAATACAAAGAAAGTCGTTATAGAGTGTTGTCAAAGGGAACAGTAACAATATTGGAATAATAAGAGGAAACAACTTACAAGTTTCTTCTTGAAAAGTTCTTCCATCATGTTTTCAGTGAGGGCCTTCATTTCATGAATGAAGTTATATGGGTGTTGAATAACATCTTCTACAATACACAACACCACCACTTCCTCTTGCAGCTAACTGTGATTTGGCAGTTTTAATATCTTTAACTCCATCCTCTAAGGTTTTTAGTTTTTGGACTATAACAGTTTGACAGTCAACAAAATAAATTGTTTAAAATTTTTGAAACACATTAAAAATCTTTAAGAGAATTCTGCTAGAAAAAAATTATCGGCTAGTCAATTTTTATAATGAAAATCTTAAATTCTACAATAGTCTTGGCATGAAGTGCATATTTTTTGTTACCCCTGAAATAACTTAGGCATGTATAAGACAACAAATAGAACAGTTACGTTACGCGCAATTAAAGCCATTACATTTCTCCATTTCTTCAAAAGTTCTGATCATTCATTTCAAATAAAGTGCTGTTGAATAAATTAATGTTCAAAATAAAAGTTTTAATTTTACAGTCCATATTTCACTTATGATATCTATTTTTAATAATTACAGTCCATATTTCACTTATGATATCTATTTTTAATAATTACAGTCCATATTTCACTTATGATATCATATTCGATAATTACAGTCCATATTTAAAATCACACAACACAGTCTCTAAATCTAGCAGGTGTTCTCTTGGTTCGGATCGGCATCTCTCTTCGTCCTGGTGCAACCATGTGTTTGTCTCCGTTCAGTTTAGTGTGGATCATAATTCTACCTCGCCACTTATCATTTGAGTTTGGAATGTCAATGTTTTTGCGAGCGAGTTTGAAGTATACAGAGTCACGAAACACTTTTCTTCCGTCTGTCTTCCGCTGAGCTCCAATGCTTGATCCGGATATTGTGTATATGATATACGTTTCAAGTTCATATGCAGTTGACCATTTATTCCTTTTCTCTTGCTTGAAAAAGACACGGTCACTGATTTTAAGTGAATGTTCTCTGTACTTCCTTTTCTGTGAATGTTTATTTAAAAAACGTTGTTTGTATTCCTCCTCTTTGTGTGATCTCCTTGTCCATGTTTTCAGTTTCATCGTTGTTCCGTACGTGGTCTAATTTAGTCCTCACTTTTTTGTTCATTAATGCTTCATACGGTGTGAATCCTGTTGCTGGGTGTTGTGTTGATCTAAATCCCATTAACATATCCTGTATCGCATCGTTACTGTGATCATTACGTTTCACATGAGCAATTTGTTCCGTTTTGTTTAGTAACTTCATGAAGTTCTCTGCCACGTCATTTGCTCTCAGATGTGCTGGTGTTATCTTATGATGATCAAATCCCATTTCAGTTGCAAAGTTGGAAAATTCATTTGAGCTAAATGATGGTCTATTGTCTGTTTCCAATCTGTCCGGAATTCCATGGGTTGAAAACAATTTTCTCAGTTTTCCAATTGTTGCTCGGGTTGTTGTGGCTTTTGTTTGTTCAACAACTGGGTATCTCGTTCTTTTGTCTATGACCACTAAACTGTAGTGTCCATCTGGTTCCATAATCTGCTGCTAAAGTATGCCATGCTGTTTC